GACCCCCGCTCTGTGCCAGCCGCGCCCCTCCTGGGGGACCTGCTTTCTTTGTCTGGGTGATAGGAATCCCGGTCAAATTGACTTCCTTGGGAAACAGACTCTGAAAGATGTTTCCTGAAGTCAGCTGTCCCCTTATCACTTCTTCCTGCCCACCCGACTTCCTTGTTGGACGTCTTTAAGGAAAATACTTAGTGTCTCCAGAATGAAGTACAGCTGTCTGGAGGACTGCAAAGAACGCAGCACATCCCAAGACAGCTGCCTGCCTTCTTATGCATGTGCCATGTTTTTCCTCTAAAGTGTCGCTTCAAGGGCGCTGGGGCTTTATCAGCTAATCCATGTTTATTTGGCGATCGCTGTTTTCACGGCAGTAAAGCCTTCCGTGAGCAAAGCAGGGAAACCTAAGATGAGCCCTTCCGCAGACCAGGAGCATACAGTGTAGACAGCTAACTAACGGAGTAGCCCTTTGTGTAAATGTTTTATGTGTTGAGGGGGGAGGGTCTAGCTCAGTGGTAGAGCGTGTGCTCGGCCTGCACGAGGTCCTGGCTTCAATCCCCAGTGCCTCCATCAAAATAAATAATTAAATAAACCTAATTACCCCCCCCCAAAGCAAACAAACAAAAACAAACGTTTCATGTGTTTAGGAGTGAGGGTGCCTGCTCTGTGCTGGCCTGGTAGAGGCGAATTTCCAGGAGCCGCTGGACTTTGAGGGATAAGTTGATTTACGCGGTGCAGGTTTGGTGGGATTGGGGTGTTTGGGGCCAGAAAAGCAGAGGAGATAACGGGAGCGAAGGCGCGGCGTTGGGATGCATGTGTCGTGCGTGGGGACCAGTGCGTTATCACGATGCTGAATGATCACAGCTGCCCTTTACTGAAAGCAGGGCCGGCCCAGCGGGGGAGCCGGTGGACCTCGGCTGGCAGTGTCTGTAGGTCTCGTTCGAGGGCGCTGAATGTGGCGCTCAGGCAGGCTGGTTCCTGAGCCCCAGGTCGCGGTCAGTGGGTCGAGGTGCAGGTCGTCCCTGCAAGAGAACAGCGGAGAGTAACCCGCCTGGGAGGTGGTGAAGCGCTTTCATGCCACCTGGAAAATCCGGACCGCGGGGCGTGGGGTGCGGAGGTATCTGATCGGTGATCCGACGTGTGCTGCTCTGAGACTGTGGTCAAGAGGGCTGGGACGGAGGGTCTCCTGCTGTTGAATTCATTTTGCTTATATCTGAAAATACGTTTATTTCAGTCTTGTTCTTGAAACACAGATTCACTGGCTACAAGCTTCACGCTGACGGGTGCCTTGTCTGGGGCCGGGCTCCACGGCGGCGCTGCGTCCGGTTCGGCGCTCTGCTGAGACACCGTGGTCTCGCCCCGGCTCCCCTCCGGCTCCTTTCAAGGCCTTTCTTTGGCAAAAGTGTTGCTTCGCGTGTCCAGGGTACCTTTCTGTTTAGTTGCTCCACTTGTTAATTTGTGGCCTTTGTGTAGCTGTAAGTGTACTTCTTCCCAGAGAATTCTCAGGTATTTGTTCAAATACTGCCCAGCTTCTGTTTCCTTAAGTCTTTCCTTCTGGGACTCTGATTAGGTCTCTTCGGTCTTCTGTCTTCCAAGACTGTTAACCTTTCTGTCTTAATTTCACATTCTTCTTTCTTTGTGCTATTTTGGGTTATTTCTTTACATTAGCTTTACAACTGTTTCTTTTTCCAGCCATGTCTAATCTGTTATTTAACCAATGTATAAAGTTTTTTTAAACCAGTTTTTCATTTCTAAAAATTTACTTTGTTCTTTTTATAATCTGGTTTCTTTGGCTTGCTCATTTTTTTACTCCTTTTTTAAATTTTTTAAACATTTCATGCACAGATGTTTTATATTCTGTATGTGATACTTCAAATATCTGAATCCAAATCTAATGTTCGCTGTTTCTCACGAGTCTGACTTACAGGGGCTTGTTTTTCTTTACTTGTAAGCTGGTTCTCAGGGGCCCTGGTGTTCTTTGAACATCTCGAGCTCGGTTCTGCCTTCCTGCTGGCCCCATGGTGCCCTCTCCCTGGTGACCCCGGGGTCACACCCCACATTCTCCTTACTTTCTGGTCTCAGCCCTCAGCTGTTTTATTTGCCCTGTTAAAGACCCCCACTTCCTGTGAGCCCGGGGTGTGGTAAAAACCACCTTTTGTGTAGGACCCGTGGGCGCAGAGGCCCGCAGTCCCTGACTCTAACCCTGACCCAGGGCCCCACCGGGTCAGGGCTGTGCTTCATTCACCTCGTCTCCCTTGTGTAACTGATGAGTCACACAATTTTCTCTCAGAGTTTCTATTACAAAGGTGATACTTTTGTTTTTACTTTTCAAATACAGAATAAAAATGTCGGCTGTGTGTTTTCAGAGCACGTACACCCTGTGGGGGTTCTGCTGGGCCCAGGGTGGGTTGAACGGTTCTTGCTTAGCATCCCTGCCTGGGAGGGGGCTGGCTGCTATGCAGGAGTGCCTCACTGTACAGCTGCCATCTCTGTCCCTGCATGCGTTTATCCGAAAAGCAACTGTCTGTCACTCGAGATACCACAACTGAAACTCGAGATTCAGCGCTGCTCTGGCGCCTGGGACAGCGGCTTCTTTCTCCTCTGTTAACGGGACAGGTGAAGATGTTCAGGGCAAAATAGAAGGTCACCTTGAGCTTTCTAGCCGAAGTCCGAATCCAAGATTCAGGTTCCTCCAGGACGCAGTGCTGGTTCTGCGAGAGGCCCAGCCCAGGCCCGCCCGAGCCTCGAGGTTGCGGCCTCTCGGATACTGTTCTAGGTGAAGGAAGGGGCATGCCGTGGGCGTCGGGAATTCTGGATCCATTTCCCAGCTTTGCCTGCCATTCACTTTGGGATCGTGGGGGAAATAATACTGGTTTTTATCCAAGACACTGGAAAGCAGTTTCAACACCATCTCTTACTTTACCATCAGAAGGTTCCCATTTCTTTCCCCCATTTGGTAACTCACTGTGTGAGGTTCAGATCCAAAGAAGTGATTTTATGGGAATTCAAGAGAATTTTTAACTGATTAGTTGAAGTTTATTTGTTAATCGAAAGTGCATTTGAAGGTTTTGAAAATCTAGTTCACAGAAATCTCTTCCTCTTCTGAAACTTTGGAAGGGTTTTAGAGACAGGGAAACGGCTCGGAACCCTCTTACGCCCCAAGGGATTGGGGAAGTTCGTCTTTCAGAAGCTCAGGCTTTCGGTTTGTTTTTTCAGTCTGCTGCGACCCTACTTACTAGACCTAGTGCTTTAAGAGCTCCTGTGCTGGTTTGCCGTGAAGAACAGGATGGACCGTGTTTGGCTGGGTTGGTAGTCTGTGCATTTGGTATCTTACTGTCAGCGTGAAGTGTTCACTCTGACTGCATCTGGCCTCGCTTTCAAGTCCGCTGGGAGCGCAGAACCTTGCTGTGAACCTCTCGGGCCGTGGCTCTGTGAGGACAAGTGTTTACGCATCTTTAGTTCACCAGGCGCTGGTTCAGACCTTGGCCTGCGAGTAGTTGGCGGCAGGAGCGCCGGGTGGGGCGGGTGGGGCTTCTGGGCCTCTTCCTCCGAGTGGTGTTTTTATGTGCAAATACGGACGTTTTGTGTGCAATTTGGGGGGCTTACGTTTGAGACCTTAGGTTGAGAGGCCTTCCCTGGGGCTCAGGACCCCCAGAGTGAACGTCTTTTCTCCTTTAGTTCTGCCCTGGCCTGACTCTCCTGTTAGCCAGTGTCTCGGACGATGACTGTCAGTGCCCTGATCTCTGCACGTTTCCAGTTTAAATCAGCCTGTGGGCAGGTCAGAGTGAAGACTGCGAGTTAAATGGAAAAGCAGCCTGTGCACGTGGTTTTAGAGATGCTGAGCTCTGTGATTTTCGCAGTGATTCGTCATGTGAGCTTGGCTCCAGGAGGTGTTCAGGGTTAAGCCAAGTGGACAGCAGAAAAGGGTCACTGCTCGCGTTCCTCTGCCATCTCGCTCTGGTGTCCCGAGTCCAGCAGGCTCTGTCTGTCTGTCTCTCTAACTTAGGCAACAGTGATAAGAGGTCCAAAGGCACGTTTTGCGCCCCTGGCTGAGGGGCCGGTCGTTGCTGGAGCAGGACAAGCGCCTGGGTCCCGGTGGTGGTGCCCGCACGCGGTTGTGCCCCGGGACAGCCCGGAGCCGCAGCTCGCCTCCTTGAGGAGGAGCGTGTCTGTGTTTTGTCTGTTGCTTACCTCTCAGGTGTGCCCACGGTGCTGTCCTGTAGGTGTGTGTCCTGTGTGCAGAGGGACCGCTGCCTGCGGGACTCAGTGCTTCTGTTCCGTGTGAGCAGCTCCTTCAACTCCTGTGCTTAGAGCCCCGTCTGATGAAACCTGGAGCAAGGTTATTTCACTTGCCCTCCGTGCTGCAGTGACAGTGTGATGTCCCGTTGAGCTGGGAACCCCCCCTCCTGCCGCCCTCAGGGAGACACCGCCGGCCAGCCAGGCAGGCTGGGGGTGGCCCTTGGTGTCCACAGTGCCCTCCCCTTAGAGGAGCGGGATTCCAGGGGGACGTGGCCTTCCCTTTCCTTCTACAGGGTCATGGCTGTGTCACGCGGAGGAGGTCGATGCTAAGAGTGTATCTAACTGACTCAGTTTTACTGGGGAGTCTGGATATTTGGCGCGTGGACTCGCGCCCCGTGGGACTGTCTCTTCTCTGATGGCGGCCCGTCTGCCTGCAGTGCCAAGCCCCCGCCTCCGGCCCCGGCCAGCTCGCCCTGGTACCCAGCGCGGTGCGCTTCTGCGTGGGCCTTTCTTCGGGCTCTGGCCTGGAGTGGTCCTTCTGGATCCCTGCTTACCAGGAAGCTGGACTGAGGTTTGAGTCTCAGCTCTGCCCTGTGACTTGTCACTGTCTGTTTCCTACCCGTAAGGAGCAGTGGAACACGGGACTTTGTGGGACTGTTCTGCACACCAGTCCGTGCTCCTGTCAAAGTACCTAAGTAAGTAACAAAAATAACACTAATTAACGTAGTAAAATTAAAACAAGCAGTGATTACGTAAGGGCTCAGCAGAGGGCCTGGCGCAGTAACAGACCCTCCGAGACGCGCTGTCACTGCTGATGCTCCGGTGGCTGCTTCACTACGGTTCCTTTGCTCCTCAGGTATCCAGAGGCACACTGGAAGTGAACCTTATCAAGCTTTGGACTCCCCCCGAGAGAGACCCTTCAGGGCCCTGGGTGCATCCTAGCAGCTTGTCCTTAGGTTTGCGACACTGAGGTGCTCGGCTGTGACCAGACAAGACTGTTCCCTTCTTGCCGCTGGCAGCTCTGCGCCCACGCACGCCGGGAGGGCTCTCCTGCTTGTGGTTTGGGAGGGGCGGGGGCTTCCCTCGCTGCTTCAGAGGGGCTGACACGTGTATTTCTGTTCAAACATCTTACAACCATGGCCTAATCTGTATGTGTCTTAACTGTTGTTTTAAAATAGTTCCAAATCAGAAGACCTGGCTTCCACTTTGAGCTGAGCCTTTCACGGTTCGAGGTATACAGTTGTCTCTCAGTGGCTCCAAGTCCGGTTCTCCTTCTCTGCGGAGAGGAGATAATGCCTGCTTTCAGGTTCTTTCCGGGATCAGGCGAGACTGTGTGTGAGAGTGGTGCTGTGGTGACAGCTGCGGCACAGATGTGAGCAGCACCCTGCTTTGCCTCCGTCCCCTCCAGGCTCGAGTTTCACTGCCGCTCGGCTCTCCAAGGTGGTAGCTTACAGTCCCAGTTTAAAGCAACCTTCTTGTAGTAAAGCTTCCCTGATGGCTTATTCTGATGAGACAGCAAGTTTTTAGTTTACTTTTTCCACATAGGAAAGACAGTTCATCTAAAGTACAGATTGGTATCCTGGATTTTTCTTAAGAAAACAAAAATCAAGTTTTAAGTTTCAAGAGTAAAGAAGAAAAAAAATTCTCTGACATTCTTCTCGGATTTGAAAAGTGGCTCTGTGGTATTTCTAGAGAAGATCAGACGTCTTACCCCGGGGGACTTTTCACGCCTGCACCGACAGACTTCGAGTAATAGAAAGTCTCAGTGGAAAGCCCAGCGCGTCTCTAAGTAAAGGCGCTGCCAGTAGGAATCAGTGAGTTTGCATGAAAAATAAGCATCTTACTAGGTGCATAGCTGTCGGGAGTGGGTGAGCTCAGGACAGGAAACAGCCCTCAGACGAGGGCATATTTGCGGCGAGTGTAGGGTGGGAGAAAGTGCACATTGTTCAAGGTGATGACAGGCTAGGTGATGGTACCCTTTACAGAAAGGCACTGCCATTTTAGTACAGTTTGTTTGTGTTTTGGGGGGGGGTGAGGCGGTAATTAGCTTATTGTATTATTATTATTAATTTTAATGAAGGTACAGGGGGTTGAACCCAGGACCTCATTCATGCGCAGCACGTGCTGTACCACTGAGCCACAGCCTCGCCCCCACGTAGGTACAGTTTAGACTGTGGATTCCATCCCAGGTCTGCATGAAGAAGCGGGGGGCTGCGGGGGGCACGGACGCCCATGTCCGCAGGTGAGGAGGCTGAGGCTTGATGGCATCCAAGGCGCGTGTAGGGGCTGGTGCTGGCCAATCGGAACACCAGACCCACACTGCAGACTTCCTGTCAGGGAGACATTTCTTCCTCAGAAGTCGTTCAAGCCCCTAAGATATCCAGTTACATTTATGAGGCCGTAAAACATCCAGTGACTGTGCTGGCCCTGGATTCTGAGAAGGGCAAGATTCAGGCACTTGGGTTCCAGTAACCTGTCTCTAAGATGCACTTGACTGGTGTGCTTTCCTAGTAATCCTGGTGATTTAATCAGGAGTGCAGGGCCACTGCAGCCCCCCACCCCCACCCCAGCACACAGAAGGCAGCATGTTAAGCTTCTCTGAGACACGTCCGTGGCCCGGGTCCATCCTCGTGTGTGCTGGGCAGGACAGCGGCCAGGTGGCAGCCCACCTGGGGCCCTGCTGTCCCTCTCCCCACGTGACCTCTCCATGAGCCCTCCTCTCTGTCCTGGGGGTCATCACAGTCCTATCCAGGGTGGTTGTGGGGACCGCGAGCCCAGTGCTTGCAAGGAACCGGCGCGTGGCAGGTAGGAAGTTCCACCAGGGGTGCTGGCGTGTGTGTGTGGTGGTGTGTGTGTGAACACGTGTGACTCACGTCCCGTACACACACACAATATCCCTGTTTAGCTTATGGTTGTAGATTGACTTGAAGGAGGCTGTGGTGGGAGGAGAGGCTGGGCCCAGATCCCTGAGGTGTCTGGATGCCGGGCGGCTGGGTCTGCATTGTAGCAGTATGAAATTGGTATGTGGGCACCTGATTAATTTATGGATCTACAGAGGTGAAAAATGAAGTCCTTCTCCCTTGAGATGAATTATCTGAAAAGAACACAGAGATTCTTGCTTTATTGTTTGTCTGGAATGAGAACAACACGTTTCTCCCAAGCTTCAGTTTGCTTTTCACATGTGATTTTTAACCATTTCCACACTTTTCCATTCTCTTCCTTATTCCTTGGTACACTGTAGGCTCCATGTTAAAGTTCAAAAACAGGGTCAGAAGCTTAATTCTGGGCTGTCTGGGAAAGGTCATTACATGGCGTGAGGAAAATTAGGAGTTCCTTCCTTTTTAAACCTAGGATTTTACTCGCCGCCTCCTTCCCCCTCAGGGTTGCGCAGGGAGACGGAAATGGGATGGCTTGATTGTCGTCGGTGTCTCCTGTGGCTGAGTGAGATGAGGGTGTGTGGGGCGGGTGCAGGCATGCAGACACCACAGGAAAGCTGTAGCGAGGACAGGCAGCATCTTCAGGGAACCGTGCCTGTCAGTGAGACCGCCCCGCACCCTTGTGCCCTGAGCTGCTCACAGAAGGCAGGTTCGGGGGCCTCTGAACCTGGGCCGTCTTGGGAGCAGGGATTCCGGCTGAGCGCTAGAGCACCCTGACTCAGCAGACCGCCACATCACAGGGCCACATGTCAGAGCCCGATTTTCAACTTTGGACATGTTAGAGAACAGTCGAGGTTGTAACTGACATACAGTAAACCACACATTTTCAATGTAGTTTGATGAGTTTGGCTTGTGCGTGAACTTTGGAACGTCCCGCGCAGTCAAGATTTTGGTCACATCCACCACCACTGCCAAGTTCCCTCGTGCCCCATCCTCTCTGCCCCACCCTACCCTGGCCCCAGACAGCCCTCCCTCTCTTCTGTCACTGTGCCCCTTCGGATTCCGTGGACATTTACATGAGTGGAATCACACCCTTGTGCTACTTTGTCTGGCTTCCGTCACTCAGCGTAATCGTTCTGAGACTTGTCTGTGTTGCAGAGCATCAATAATTCATGTCTTTTTCTTGGTGAGTAGCACTGTGCCATTGTGTGGAAATGACCACAGTCCATCTACGCACTGTTTATGCGTGTCTGGCTTGTTCCCAGATTTTAGCTATTACAGATAAAGTTGCTGTGAGTATTTGTGTATGAGCATTTGCATGAACGTCATTCTCTTTGGTAAGTATCTGGGAACAGAATGGCTGAATCAAATAATAGGTGTATGTTTGAAAATGTTAAGACACCGCCAAACTCATTTCCAAAGTGGTTGTACCATTTTATGTTCCCACCTGCAGGGGCTGAGAAGTCCATGTGTTGACAGCCTCGTGAACAGCTGTAGTTGTTGTCTCCATTTAAGCCCTTCTCGCAGGTGGACTGGCATCCCTTTACCAGACCTCTCACCTGGCTAGTGACGTGGAGCATCTTTCCTGCGTTTGCCCCCCTTGACGCCTCTCTACCTGCCATTTTAGAGGGGAAGCATCCAAAGGCTGTTTTCCAGTGAAACTTTATATACCCAGACAAACAGGGAGCAAGACGTATTCAGCCTTTGGATAGTAGTGTTGACTGAAAAAATATGCACAATCTAAAAGTTGAGAATTATGTTTTATTTGGCGGACAAAACTGAGGACTTAAGTCTGGAGAATAGCCTCTCAGATGGCTCCGAGGGACCGCTCCAAAGAGGAGAGGGAGGAGCCAGGATACATAGGAGTTTTGCAGCAAAAACCAGATAGTTGGAACCTTAAAAGATTACTGTTCATTGAAGGAAACCAGACATCTCAAGTTAATGAGTTTAGCTCTCTTTTCTGTGTATGGGAAGGTGCAGGAGTCTGGGCCCACTGAAATCACTCCTTTGATCTATACCTTAAGTATGCTCTTCTTTTTCATTTTGCTTGTATAATGAGTTATATGCATTGGTTTTCAGATATTTAGCCAAGCCTCTATGTTCATGAGCTTTATTGGTCTGTATTTTTTTTCTTGTAATGTCTTTGTCTCCTTTTGGTATTGAAGTAATACTGGTCTCATTGGGTGAATAAGTTGGGAAACACTTCCTTCTCTTCACATTTCTGGAGGAGCTTGTTCAGAATTGGTATTATTTTTTCTTAAAATGTTTGGTAGCTGTCTGGGCCTGGAGATTTTTTTGTGGGGAGGTTTCTACTTACAAATTCTTTTTTTTCAACAGACAAAGATTTTTTTTCTTTATCAAAGAGTAAAGGGAAGTAAAAGTGCTCATAAGTAAAACAGTAAAAATTACTCATTTCTTCTTGAGTGAGCTTTGGTGGCTTGTGTCCTTCGAGGAATTCATTCCCGCCAGGTTGTCAGAGTTCCAGGCACAAACCTGCATGTTGTCTCATACTCTTTTAATGTCTGTGCAGTTGTGATGTCCCTGCCCTCAGTTCTGATACTGTTACTTTGTGTTTCCTCTTTTTCTCCGCATCAGTCTAGATAGAGGTTTATTAATTTTGTTGATCTTTCAAAAGAACCAGCTTTTGGCTCTGTTGGTTTTTCTCTGTTCTGTTTTCTGTCTCGTGATTTCTGCTTTGCTGTTTATTATTTCCTTTATTCTGCTTGCTTTGGATACAGTTGGGTCCGCTCTTTGTACTGTCATGATGTAGAAGCTGAGGCCACTGATTTGAGACCCTTCCTCCTTTCCGATGCAGGCATGCAGTGCTACCGACTTGACTCTCGTTACTGCCTCAGCAGCCTGTCACAAACTCCGATGCCATGTTTTCATTTTTGTTCAGTTCAAAATACTTTCTAATTTCCTTTTTGATTTCTTCTTTGATCTATAGGTA